AATATAATATTCTATAAGATAATATATAATTTGTTTACTAAAAATAACACATTTAAAATATAATACATATTCATTATTTTTTAATAAAAATACTTTTTTAAAAAATAACACATTTTAAATATAATACATATTCATTATGTTTTTAAAAAAATACATTTTAATTTTTTCTATTTACAATTTTGTTTACTAAAAATATTTTTAAAAATTCAACTTTTTCTAGTATAATATATATTCTGTTTTTAAAAATTAAATACATATTTAAATACAACATTACATATTTTGTTTCTAATATATATTCTATTACATATTTTTCTAATATATATTCTGTTTTTAATTCTAAAAATATATATTTTGTTTCTAATATAATATATCTTCTAATATTTTTAATTTTATCTTTCAATAACAACAACAATACATATTTACATACACTAAAAACAACAAATCTAAAGTTTTATAATCAATAACCAAATATTTCATATATCACTATAAATCTGAAAAATAAAAAAATTTAATTGCGTAAATACCTCAGAGCAAATTCCTAAAGCTTCAATGGAGCAACTTCTTAATCTTAGATTTGGAAAAAAAATCAATAATTAATAATAAGAAAAGATTAAAATAAACTGTAAAACAAAAACAAAAACAAGGAAAATATCATTTACCTCAAATTTTTTGTGTAGCTTTCGTTCAAAAATGGAGGAGTAACAGGCAGAAGGAGAATGAGGAAAGGAAAGAAAGAAGGAAAAGGATGAAGAAATGAGGATGCGTGAAAAAATTTATGGGTTTTTAATATATAGCCACACTTGCGACGTGGTAGACATGTGGGAACGTACCCACCTGAAAACCACATCGGAACCCATTAAAGGCTTGCTCATTTGCAACGTGAATGCCCCTTGGGAAAGTTGCCACGTGAGACACACGTCGAAAGTTTCCCAACATTTAATATATTAATGTTGCATTATTAAAGGTCAAAGCAACGGTAAAAAATAAAGTTTAAAACATTTATGTGTCCCATTTGCGACGTGGGATTCACATGGAAACTCTGTCACAGTCAATTTCATCATTAATGTGTTTGAAAAGTAAAAGTAAAAGTTGACCACCTTTATTATTTATAAACTTGCGACGTGTATCCCATGTGGGTAGTTCGTGACATGTTCCCCGCATCGCAAATACAAAGAATTTTTTGAATTTTTTGTTCCCGTGTGTTTAACACACCACAACTTAATTTTTGAAAAATTCAAATTTCTCTCCCTCTTAAAATTCAAATTTTTCATTGCAGATTTTAGGTTTACAGGATATATTAATTAAATATGGTAGTGACGTGGTTTACACGTCGCAACCTATTTTTTACCACGTGTTTACCATGTCACTAAATCACTAGGCAAAATCAAAGTTTTCTTGTAGTGGTGTGTGTATTTTCTAAAAGTTTTTGCAAATAGAAAAGGGTATATTTTCTATTTGTTGCAGAAAGGTCCTTTGAATTGGTTTGATTCAAAGTCCAATATACTTGTTAGTATATTCAAGGAAGTAATTGCTTCAAGAGACTCATCATTTAGAAGGATGTTATCTAAGATGAAATGGATTTAATAATGTCAAACCACACTTGAGAACTTGTCGATCTAATTAAAAGATCAAGATCTATTGGATGCAAGTGTGTTTTTAGAATGAAGTATCATAATGATGGTACACTAAACACCTACATGTATAAATTAGTAACCATGAGTTTTACAAAAAAAGGAAGGTGTTGATTATTTCAACACATATGCACTAGTAGCTAGGACGACGACAATTAGAGTATTATTTGCATTAATTTCTTTGCATGATCTTATAGTTCATCACATGGATGTCAAAATGAAATTCCTAAATAGAGATCTCGGTGAGGAGATTCATTGGGAAATCAGAATGTCATATGCTTCTTGGTAATGAACAAAAGGTGTGCAAACTTGTCAAATCCTTGTATGAATTTAAACAAACACTGAAACAATGGCATCAAAAGTTTGACTTTTTCATTGTAAGATTCACCAATTAAGGAGGAGACATACAACTTAGGAGGAGAAAATATTTTGTCATCATAAAAAGAGGGAGATTGTGATTCAATTTTAATGAAGATAAAGATTATCAAAGAAGAAAAGGTGCAAAAGTGGCATGCACATCAATGATGAAATTGATCAAGAAGGTTTAACATAGAAATTCAAGTGAACATTTGAGACAAATGAACATAAATAAGGTGTTCATTGCAATTCATATTATACTACTTTAAATTGCTTTGAATTTCATCTCTCACTTCATCTAAAAAAATTCTTGCATCATCATGCATGATTATCTAAAAACCTTCTCCATCTAATTCTTGTTACACGTGTTTGTACACAAAGTTGTGTGAGAATATTGTGATATTCACTTGTCTCCATGTTGATTATATGATTGACCATTAGCAACGAGATGACTGAAATATTAGAAAGAGAGAGATTTCTAACTTCCACATTTAAGATGAATGATCTTGGACTAGTTGACACACTTTTGGGGATCAAAGTAAAGAAAAACAGTGAGGGTTATGAAGTTAATCATACACATTATGTTGAGAGAGTACTTGATAAGTTCCAAACATTTACGCTTTAAGGATGTGACAACTCTATTTGATTTTATTGTCAAACTTCAAATTAATGATTGAAGAGTTGTGGCTCAATTGGAATATGCAAGTATATACAATGTACTAGAACCGACATAATATTTGCAATTAGTAAAATAGTAAATTTCACTAGCAATCCAAACGATGAGCACTGGAAGGCCATCATTAGGATTTTCAACTATCTTATGAAAACCAAAAATCTCGGTCTCCATTATGGTAGAATTCCTACCATATTAAAAGGATATACCGATGAGATTTGAATATCGAGTGTTGAATATCATAAATCTGTATTTCGGCAAATATTTACAATAGCCTGGGGTGAAATTTCTTGGAAGAGCAAGAAAAAAATGTGGATCACTTTCTAAACTATAGAATCAGAGTTCGAGGATCTTACTTCCACCGGTGAAGAAGTTAAATGGTTGAGGGACCTTCTGTTGGAAGTCATTGGCTAAAGATAATGTTTCAAAGGTGTTAATACATTGCGGTAGTCAAGCCTCTTTACTTAGAGCATACAAAAAATGTATAACAGAAAGTCTAGGCAAGTAGGACTTAGACATTCTTTCGTGAGAAAATTGATTAAGGATGTAATCATTTCATTCACATATATACAATCAAGCTATAATTTGCTTGATCCATTTACTAAACCACTGGCTAAAGATTTAGTAAAGACTACCTCGAGAGGTATGAGACTAAAACTCATTGAATAAAGGTTCTGATAACGGTAGTAACCCAACCTGAAGTTAATAAATCTTAACCTAAGATTCAATGGGTAACAACAAGTCGTTGATTTGGATGTTTGTGCAATATTATGTGACAATGTTGACTATTACATATTGAGGGTTGAGTTTTTTCAAACTCTTAATGAAGTTCTATATCAAGGATATGTATCTCAAGAAATAGATACAAAATGAACTTCACCTATATGAATTTCGAGATGGTGCCGTCTCAAAGTGAGAGTTGAAGTTTCTCTCATAAAAAATTCACGAAAACAGGAAAAGCACATGGCCATAAATAGTTCTAGGTGAGAGATGTAGACGAAGAATCATTAAAGAATGTGTGTAAGGTAATGTCGGTATAATCATAAGGGATAACTGTTCAAAGCATAACTACCTAATATTCTGATTAAACTTTGCGTTATCCTTACTAATGTTAAGTTCAAATCGAAAAATGTTTAACTGTATTAACATTCTTTGTTTCTCTTTTTCTGTAACTAGTCTTGTCATTATTAGAACAAGTGGGGGATTGTTATAAATTATTAACAATTAATAATCTTGAGTGTGTTTCAAAATGACAAGAAATATTCAATTGAAGATTAATTTTGAATTCAGAAGTAAGAAACACTTGTGAAGTGTTGTAGTAGGTTTGAATTTATAAATATGCAACATTTGTGAAGTGTTGCAGTGGTTTTGAACTCAAAAATAAGCAATACTTCGTGAAGTGTTGCCGAATGCGAAACACTGCAACGTTTGAAAAGGTGTTGCTATATGCGAAACAATACAATATTTAGCAAAAATGTTGTTGAAAGTGTTGTTTTATCAAGAGTAACAGTCTTATGAAATAACACTTGTTTGACCTATAAATAGAACATTTCAGATTCAGAAAAACACATTAGAAAAATCTATTTTCTTCACACAAAATTTTGGATTTCATCTTCTATACATTCGAGTTTTCTTCGGTCTTGTGCAAACTCGAATATATGCTGATTATCTTAAATATTCATGCGTGAAAACTCTAAGACAATTTGAGAGTACTTGAAATACTATAAAAAAAGAAATTCATTCACTATTATAGTCTCAATTCATTTTATTTCAATTAATTTTTCTAATATATATATATATATATATATATATATATATATATATATATATATATATATATATATATATATATATATATATATATATATATATATATATATATATATATATATATATATATATATATATATATATATATATGCAACGGATTCATTTTTTCTACCGTAAGATTCCATTCCAATAGATACAAAGTTTGGTGTTATGCCAGACACTTGTGTAAGAAGAGATATGCGGTGTGTTTAAAAATGCTTTAAATCCATTTTGAAACCAGTTCTTAAAAAAGTGAAGCTTTAAAATTAAATTTTTAAAAAATGATTTGAAATTCTACTTGTTATGAAGAAGTAATTGGTGATGATAGCAAGAAGTCAAGAACAATATATTGAATGGGTATATAATTAATTAAGATTCATTTCTTTTGTAATAATTTTGCTTGTTACCTAAGATATTCAATATTCTCTACCCTAAGAAACAAGTTTTATTTGGCTTTTATTCAGTATAAAGCTTCTCTAATTTTTGTTATTCATTGTCACAAATCTATCTCTATTAATTCAAATAAAAAAATGGGCCAATCTCTGAAGAAATTATCATCTGGTTCTATATCTAACTCTATCAAATTTTCTTTAAAATTTGTGTTTCTTATAAATTGTTTTTTTTTAATGAAAATTTATGCAGGAATTGATGAAAAGAAGGCTAAAGAACTTGGTCCAATTATAGATCAATTTTATGATAAAAGTATAAAAAATAAAGATTTCCCAGAATTCTACCGAGGAGTATGCGAAATTGTCGAGTACTTATCATTTTTCATTTTAAATACTTATTTAATTGATTATTTAGCATAAATAATATGCAGCTATTTTTATTTTTTTTATCAGATAGGCAATTTTTATTAATTACAAATTTTCATCATTCTATGGCAGGGAACTTAATAGAAAGCTTGGATACACGCAGTTCAAACTCCCCAAAGCGAAGGAACTTGAGAAGGCATATAATGTATGTGCAAATATATATTTGTCTAGTTATCTTATATTTTAGCTCTACTAAGCACGCTCACGTCAAAAACGACCCGACACCAATAATAATTTAAAAACTAAATAAATTAAAAACATAATCATAAATATCAACCTATGTTTGACACACTGCTCTATTTTTTCAGTTGTGTCAGTGCTACTTAGTAACACGGTGTGTTTATGATTAATGAATGTTTGATGATCTTTAAATCTCATAATATAGGAACATCACAAAGGAAAAGAGAAGGAATTAACAAAAACCGAATTCCAAGACATCATGAAAGAGATGGTTAAGGAATCAGGATTCACTGGTGTTGGAGCAAAAGAAGCACTTTTATACATCTTTGGTGTTCCTGTGACTGCTCTCTTTATCAAACAGAGAGTGATGCCTCAAGCAATTCCAAATGAATTTTTCATCCCAGGAATCACTTCTGTCACTGTTTTAATTCTTGCAGCACTTAACAAAATATGATATATTGTAACCAACCTAGCTACAATAATATATTGGTTTGCAGCCGAAAATCGAAACGTGATCGTACTTTTATAGACTTCTATATATACATAAGTTTCGACTCTTGATTGTTGATACGGACGTTTAGACCTTTAGTTCAAACATGTTGTAACTTGTTTTTATTAAAAAGAAATAAAAATTTATTATAAATTATTTATACAACTCATAGTTTAGAGCACAAGATGTGCTAAAAAAATACAAAATAGAAATTTTGTTAAATAGTCCAAAAATAGCACCTTGATTTCATGACTTGGCTCCAATTGTCATGGTTCTTAGAGGTTGTAGAACATGAACCACAATGCTCTCTTTCATGAATGACAACAAAAATAAACACACAATATTGTGAATTTTAACAAATAACATGGTATACACCAAATTAAGGTTAGTTTGCAATTGACAGGTGTAAAAAATTTGACTCAATTTGTGCATCTCCTGTAACAATTAACAAACATGTCCCCGAATTTTTGGAAACGTGAGAAAACAAAAAAAAACATTACCACAACATCAAATCTGGTTTTGAAACTTTTGGTATGTTCCCTCTGCATGCATGTTAGGTACATGACATTGTTGGTTTCATGAGATTCAAGTTTATCGTTTGTTTTGTTTGTTGACGATGTATGCATGAAATCGTTTGAATTCATGTATATGTTAATGGAGAGGAGTATCGAAAAATAAGCGACAAGGATTGGAAGGAAAAATACACACAATGATTGGTAAAGATGGAGGTGTTTTCAAGGCATGGGAAGCCACGGTGAGAAGAACGCATGCGGTAGCTAAGAAACGCGCGAATAGTATATTTGGGATTGGGACGTTATCTATATCAAATACAGACGAAGAAGAACACCACATTGATGATAATGAAGATATCGGAAGTGATACGTTGGAAGTATATAATGAAGAGAAATTTCTTCCGAATGGAGATTATTATACAGGACAATGGGCAGAGAATTTTCCGCATGGAGAAGGAAAATATCTATGGATAGACGGGTGTATGTACGTCGGACAGTGGTGCAAAGGGAAAACAAAGGGAAAAGGTAGATTTAGTTGGCCTTCGGGAGCTACATACGAAGGCGAATTCAAGAGTGGTTTCATGGATGGTGTAGGAACGTACACGGGTTGTAACGGTGAGACGTATAAAGGACAATGGGTGATGAATTTGAAACATGGTCATGGGTTTAAGAGTTATGTTAATGGTGATTGGTATGAAGGTGATTGGAGAAGAGGGGTGCAAGATGGAAAAGGGAGGTATGAATGGGCAGATATGAGTCATTATATCGGCGAATGGAAGAATGGTACAATTTGGGGTAAAGGGTCATTTTTTTGGCCTAATGGGAATAACTTTGAAGGGTTTTGGGAAGATGGTTTTCCAAAAGGACATGGAACTTATAGATGGCAAGATGGAACCTATTATGTTGGAAATTTTAGTAAAGACGATGATGATGAAGATGGCGAAAAAGGAACACTTTATCCATTTGATCCGACATCTGATGAGACTCATTTGGATTGGGATCCTCAAGATTTGTATGGCGAGTTAAGTTGTTATTCAGTTTGTCCTGGTGAGAAGGTTTTGGTTTTGCCATCGCAAAAGAGACTTGCGGTTATGAAGTCTACGAAAGCAGTGGATTGTGGTAAAGCTAGGAGAATGTCGGTTGACGGAAGGGTGAGTGTTAGCGGGGATAGAATGAATTTGTGGGATGGTGGCGGGAGTAGTCATGGAGGAGGTGGTGCAGGAGATTTCGATCTTACTAGCACTGGTAATAGAACTCCTCCTCCTATTTTAGGGAGTGATCATGATGATGAATCAATTGGTTCAAGGGTTGATGATGCTAATGATGCTTTGAATCAACTTCAACCTTTGAAAGCACCTAAGAAAGCAAAGAGGCAGGGTGAGACTATTTGTAAAGGGCATAAAAATTTTGAGCTCATGCTTAATTTGCAGCTTGGAATTAGGTAATGTTGTTTTGGATTTTCGAACTTTCATAAACTTTCCAACTTGTTCGAAAATGTAGTTTTCTATGCTTCTTGCAATGTATTTTTGTGAATTCTTGTTTATTCTAACCCTGTTATTGATGCGAAGTATCTACCGACTTTGTTGGATTTATTGATCATTTTACAATTTGTCCGGACTTTCTAGGCACTCGGTTGCAAGACCTGCTCCGACTGCATCACTTGATCTTAAACCTTCGGCTTTCGACCCAAAAGAGAAAGTATGGACAAGATTTCCACCAGAAGGATCAAAATATACTCCACCACACCCATCATGTGACTTTAAATGGAAGGACTATTGCCCTGTAGTTTTTAGGTCAGTCCCACAAATACTTTATATGTAGTTTCATAAAGTTCTTCAATGAATAATCATTGATTTTGTATCACAATCTGTTCTCAGGACTCTTAGGAAGCTATTCAATGTGGATCCGGCTGATTACATGCTATCCATATGTGGAAACGATGCTCTTCGCGAGCTTTCGTCTCCTGGAAAAAGTGGAAGCTTCTTTTACTTAACCAACGACGACCGTTACATGATTAAGACAATGAAGAAAGCTGAAGTGAAAGTGAGTTTCAAAACTTAAACTTTCTCACATTTGAAATTTCACATTTATTTTCATAATTTAGTTCTTTTGGATCTCTATCGCAGGTCCTCATAAAAATGCTTCCTGCTTATTACAATCATTTTCGGGAGCATCAAAATACGCTATTAACGAAATATTACGGCTTGCATTGCGTAAAGTTAAATGGAGCTATCCAAAAGAAGGTACATTTCATATTATTAGTGTTATATAATCTTCATGTAACAGATATTTGGCATAATAAGTTTTAAAATATGCTTGGTTTTTCAGGTTCGATTTATCATAATGGGAAACCTCTTCTGTTCCGAGTATATCACTCATAGACGCTATGATTTGAAGGGCTCTTCGCTTGGTCGCACTTCAGATAAACTTGAGACAGAGATTAGTGAAACCACTATTCTTAAAGATCTCGACCTTAATTTTATATTTCTACTTCAGAAATCGTGGTTTCAAGAGTTTTGCAGGTGATATAAGTTTCCGATACATCAACTTATATAGTTAAAACATCACACATTTGAAGTTATATACTTTTTCCTTTAAAACACAACATCTTAATTTAGACAAATCCAATGAAGCATGGACACGTTATGAGTATCAGATACGATTCAGCTGAGATTTTGACGTACCCGTGCTTCATTGGACAAGTCAAACAATTGCAAATCCAAACATGTTTTGCAAATTTTTGTTTCTTATGAAGTTATACTAAGCATATGTAACATATTTGTTCTACAGACAAATTGATAAGGACTGTGAGCTTTTGGAACAAGAGGGAATTATGGACTATAGTCTTCTACTTGGCATTCATTTCAAAAATATATCACAAGATGGAGATGTTATTCCTTTAATATCTCTTACTCCTACCGGTAACTTTCTTATCCTACAAGTAGTAATATCTATATGATGTATGATGTATGTGTGCACGCGCGCGTGTTCCTATTTTTACAACCTAGTACAAACTTTCTTACTTTTCAATCGCAGGTGAATCAGAGAACGAAGGAACTCCTGTTACTCCCGTAGAAGACATAGATCAACTTCCTTCTGATCCTACAAGGTAAGATTTTCGAAAGTAATTCACTTTAGAAAGTAAAATAAGTAATCTCAACCGCCGATGAAAAAATCAACGGTTGATATTCAAATGCTCATGATTTGTTACGCATGTCTATTTGGTTATATGCAGTACACTATTGGGTGTGAACATTCCAGCGAAAGCTGAAAGGACGGTAAGAAGAGGCGACATCGAAACACAACTAGTTGGAGAACCAATAGAAGAGTTCTATGATGTTCAACTCACTTTTGGTGTCATAGACATACTTCAAGACTACGATATCAGCAAGAAGCTTGAGCATGCTTACAAGTCCATTCAATATGACCCTACCTCAATATCAGCTGTTGATCCTAGACAATACTCGAGGCGTTTTCGCGATTTTATATTTCGAATTTTCATCGAAGACACTATTGAAACATAGAACATGGTTCTTCTATTCCTCAAGTATATTGTTGCTTATCATAGTTCATAATTTTTTGATATTTTGTATAGTACATTATGTATATGAGCACATTGTGAAGAAACTCTGAAAGCATATTGTACACATTTGATAGAATATAATACTGTATCTAGGATTGTTATTTTCTTTTATAAGAGATGGAGAGGGTGAAAAGGGAATTATATTCCAATATTTTGTATCAAATTGGGGTGTATATATAGGTGAATGGAAATGGATCAATGTACATGTTTATTTTTTTCACTCCTTGATGCTCTTAGTTATCTCATCGATTAGTATTTCATAAATACATATTATTCAGTGTGATTTAAAATAATTTATTTTAGATGGGAGAGAAACTTTTATTTTAGAGTCTCAACAAAAGATTACAAATGATTATAAAAAATTAGTTAAACAAATTCAAGAACGTTTTCTATTTTCTACTAATTTGAGATTCAAATTTCTCATCCTCTCAATAAATGAATCACTCAATTCTTAAAATATAATCAAAGATCACTCGATCTCATTGTCTCTCTAATTTTCTCTTTAGAAAACCTCTTACGAATAAAAATGACAGAAAACAATTAAGTATGACACATGTGTCATGGGATCCGCCTCGTGCTTTACTGTCAACGTTCATTGTCTATCTCACCTCAATCGTTTCAGGTTGAAACAAATTTCTCCAATTCATCTGTTCACTCGCCTTGTAACTCATATTGGACGCTTTGTAGGTGAGATAGCAGCCAAATGGAATGTTGAGTTTTCAAAACAAACATCTACAAATTTCCATTTAGTATTCAAAACATTGGTGTTTATATATATATATATATATATATATATATATATATATATATATATATATATATATATATATATATATATATATATATATATATATATATATATATATATA